TGGTCGATTTGCCTTTGGAGGGAGGGCCTTTTACTTGGTCTAGTGGACGTTCTCCTCCTACCCTTTTTTGGCTCGATAGATTCCTTGTGTCGGGAGACTAGGAGGAGAAGTTTTCTGATGTTGTTTAGGCTACCTTGGGTCGCCCTATCTCTGATCATATTCCGTTGATGTTGGACTGTGGTGGTTTGCGTAGAAGGCGATCTCCATTCAGATTCGAGAATATGTGGCTTCGTGCTGAGGGTTTTCTGGATAAGGTCCGATTATGGTGGGATGGGGTTGGGGGGGTCGGTACCCCAAGTCATTTGCTTGCGGCTCACTTGCGTCTTCTTAAGAAAGATATCAAAATTTGGAACAAGGAGGTCTTCGGGAATCTTGTTTGGAGGAAGAATCGGGTCTTATCTGAAATTGCTGATATTGACCGGATGGAGGGTCAGGGGTCCTGCCGGACTCCTTGAAGGCTAAGAGGGTGGAATGTTAGGCGGAGTTTGTTGAGATTGCTATCGTGGAAGAGATTTCGTGGCGACAAAAGTCTCGTGCTTTGTGGCTTAAGGAAGGCGACAGGAACACGGAGTTTTTCCATCGTTTGGCTAACGTCTGTAGAAAGGGCAATCATATTGGAAGAATCCGGGTGGAAGGGGAGTTATTGTGCAAGGAGGATGACATTTGCAAGGGAATTGTTGAGCAGGGGTCACACGGTTCCGGTTGGAACCGGAACCGGAACCGTTCACAACGGTTCCTAAAATAGGGAACCGGAACCGTATAGATTAGAACCGAACAGGAACCGAACCGTAGAACCGGTTCAGTTCTATGAGAACCGTTAACCATGAGTTAAGAGACAGCAGCTGAAGCTTGCGAACCCGAACTGGAACAGCAGCGATGGAAACTGAAAGATATGGGGCTTGAGAGTTGAGAGACAGCGGCTGATAGTGTAGCATCCCTCGTAAATTTATGGCAAGTCTTTATTGTAAATTTTGTTACCAAATACCTAAAGTGCTTAAGCATCACCTGTATCTAATTATTGTCACTGACAGTACCAAACAAAGGATACGAAGTTTCGTGGAAAGTCGCAACATAAGCAAATTGCCCATCTTTATGTATAGTGCCAGGAAATTGCTAAGATTTGAACAGCCATCTAATTACATAAGAATACACACTCTCTTGTTGCTCTCCAGATAAGTCTCTAGCTCTTTCATAATTAAGCTAGGTTCCATGGCGGCGGCTTCATCATCATTATCATCATTGCGTGGATCTGAATATGACGTGTTCTTAAGTTTTAGAGGGGAAGACACTCGCAAAACCATGGCTTCATCATCATCATCATCACCACTGCTAACCCGAACTGGAACAGCAGGCTATGGAATGGGTTTTGATTTTTTAAACAATTTGAAATGATATGCCGATATGGGTTTCGAACTTCTGATTCTTGTAGATTTTGTAGTATGTAGTTGTAGAGAGAGAGAGAGGGGGGCAAGTTCAGATCTAAGAACGAAAATAGAGAGAGGGCAAGTTCAGAGTCGAGAGAATAGAGATGGAGGCGATTGGTTTAGATGGTTAGATGAGGTTTCAGATTTGTGTTTTGTTTTGTGGATTAGTCATTACCCACGTGGCTGCTTGTAGGCCTTTAGTTTAAACTAACTAAATATATAATTATATATATATATATATACACACACATACGGTTCCGGTTCTTACCGGTTCCCACGGGCTGGAACTGGAACTGGAACCGTACACACACGGTTCTGAAATTAAGAAACGGGACTAAAACCAGAACTGGAACCGTGAGAACAGGTAAAACGGTACCGGTTCTCACGGTTCTGGTTTCGGTTCCACGGTTCCGGTTCTTTTGTACATCCCTATTGTTGAGTTCTATGCGAAGCTTTTCACAGAGTCTGTTGGGTGGAGACCTTTGCTTGAGGGGCTTCAGTTTGATTCTTTCTCTAGTGAGGAGGGCTCTGGTCTGAAGGAGCTTTTTTCTGAAGAGGAAGTGTTGGTTGCTTTAAAGAGTTGTAACGGGGATAAAGCCCCAGAACCTAATGGGTTTACTATGAGATTTCTTTTAGAGTGCTGGGAGGTGGTCAAAGGGGAAGTGATGGGCACTTTTCATGCTTTCCACGCGCGGCTCTTTTGAGAAGAGCTTGAATGCCACTTTCATCGCCCTCATTCCCAAAAAAGTGGGGGCGTTGGATTTTCGGGATTTCCACCCTATTAGTTTGGTGGGGTGCATTTATAAGTTGATTGCCAAAGTTCTTGCTAATAGGTTGAGGAAAGTGTTGGATGGAGTTATTTCTGACTCTCAGAATGCCTTTGTGGGAGGTCGACAGATTCTGGACTCAGTTCTTATTGCTAGTGAGTGCGTTGACTCCAGATTGCGCAGTGGGGTTCTGGGCGTTCTGTGTAAGTTGGGCATCGAGAAGGCATACGATCATGTGAGTTGGAGCTTCCTTCTTTATTTGATGGAGAGGATGGGGTTTGGAGTGCGATGGAGCAAATAGATTCATTTTTGTATTTCCAGTGCTCGTTTCTCCGTGCTTGTGAATGGAGCTCTGTCGAGTTTTTTCACTAGCTCGAGGGGCTTAAGGTAGGGAGATCTGCTTTCCCCTTTTTTGTTCCTCTTTGTGATCTTAGGTTGATGAGGAGGGTTGTGGAGTTCGGTTTTCTGAGAGTTTTTCGGGTGGGCAGGGATGTCGCTAGTCAGTTGGAGATTTCACACTTGATGTTTGTGGATGATACTTTAGTGCTTTGTGATGCGGATGTGTCCCAACTCAGATATCTGAAATGTGTTTTGATCTGGTTCCAAGTTGTTTCTGGCCTTAAGGTGAATGTTGGAAAAAGGGTTTTGGTTCCAGTCGGGGACGTCCCTGACATCGAGATGCTTGCCAGCATTCTTGGATGCCGTACAGGTTCCTTTCCCATTTCTTATTTAGGGTTGCCCTTGGGAGCTCCCTCAAGGTGTGTGGGGGTTTGGGATCCAGTTGTGAATAGGTTTGAGAGGAGGCTGGCGGGGTGGAAGAAGCAGTATCTTTCTGGGGGGGTGGGTGACTCTGATCAAGAGTACCCTTTCTTGTCTTCCCGCTTATTTTATCTCTCTTTTCCAGATTCCCTCTTCTGTGGCGGAGAGAATTGAGCATTTGCAGCGTAATTTTTTGTTTGGGGGGGAGGGGAGGAGTTTAAATTTCACCTGGTTCGTTGGGAGCAAGTTTGTAGGCCGATTCGGAATGGAGGGTTGGGGCTTAGAAGATTGGTGGCTTTCAATAAAGCTCTCCTTGGGAAATGGCTGTGGAGGTTTGGGGTGGAGAGGCATTGGCTGTGGAGGGTCGTGGTGAGCAGATATGGGGAGAGTAGAGGAGAGTGGAGCTCTCTTGAGGTGCGTGGTCCTAGGGGTGTGGGGGTTTGGAAGTTTATTCGACAGGGCTGGGCTGATTTCTCCAATCATGTTCGGTTTCGTCTTAGGGATGGCAGGAGGATTAGATTTTGGGAGGATGTCTAGTGTGGGGACCTTCCTCTTGCTCCCGCTTTCCCTCGACTGTTCAGGATTGCTACGGATAGGCAGGTCAGGGTGGTCAACTGTTATCATCTTGATAATGGGAGATTGGTTTGGGATGTTCGATTCGGGCGTCTGTTTCAGGACTGAGAAGTTGATGATGCCATCCGTCTTCTGGAGGTGTTGTATCGTTAGGGTGTTACGGTTAGAGATTCTGATGTTTGGATTTGGGCTCCCAATGCTCAGGTTGCTTTGATGTTCGGTCCTTCTTCAGGTGTCTCACTCATGAGCTTGAAGGTCCTTTCCCGTGGAAGGCCGTTTGGCGTTCTAAGGCTCCACTTAAGATGGCCTTCTTTGCTTGGACCTTTGTTTTGGGAAAGATTTTGACTCAGGATAATTTGAGGAGGAGGAATCAGGTGGTGGTTAATCGGTGTTACATGTGTCTTCGGGATGAAGCGACAGTGGATCATCTTCTTTTGCATTGTCCTTTGGCCAAGGAATGTTGGGATTTGATGCTTGGTCTATTTGGTTTTCTTTGGTTCATGCCTGTTCTTCTAGAGGGATGATTGAGGTTTGGAAAGGTTGTCCTGTGGGGGCTCACATCCGGGATGCTTGGAGGGCTACGCCTCTTTGTATTTGGTGGTGCATTTGTCTCAAGAGGAACAGGAAATACTTTGATGGAAAAGAGTCACCTATTTCTTTTCTTAAGTTCTCCATTGTTTCCACTATTTTTTGTTGGGTTTCAGGAAGAGGTTATAGATCCATTGTCGTTTTTTTTGGCCTCTTTGAAGGCTTAGAGGTTTTTTTGCGTTTTGTTGTTCATTTGGGATGCACTCCCCTTTTGAACATTTTTTATACAATTCTTACTTATCAAAAAAAAAAAAAAAAAAAAAAAATTCTTCCAAATTGATTGTATTGTAATTTTCTTATTGAGTTGTGTCTTGTAATGTTGGATTTAATACATAATATCTTTATCTGTGACTAGTTCTAACCAAGAACCCCAACAGAAAAGTTGACTCCTGAACACTTGGATCATCAGCTGGGCCATCATCTGGTGACCATGAATTTTGTTTGCCGGCACCGTTTTGTCACTTTTGTGTGTGGGTGGGGGGAGTCTTCTATGAAATTTGTAGCTATTGACAAAGTTCCATTTTTTGATCTTTACCTTGGGTTTTTTGAATACCATGTTCCATAGACTAATCCTGATTTGCAAATCAGTCAGTAATAGTAGTAGATGGATCACCTTGCTAAAATTCTCTGGAATAATCGTATTCTGTATACCATGATGCTGTGCTGTCTGCCTATAATCCTGGGACAAACTACTCTCTCATGGATTTTAGATTATTCCTTCCAGAAGTGTCACTTGTCTTTTTTTTATTTTTTTTATTTTTTTTTTATTTTTGTGAGAATTTGATATTGGACATATGGAATGACATGATTCTTCTCTCAAATATTGAATCATTTGAATTTATTATTATTATAATTATCTTGGCTGACACGTCATGTTTCTTCAATTTAGGATGAAAGAGAGCTTAAAAGACAGAGAAGGAAGCAGTCCAACAGAGAATCCGCTCGCAGATCGAGGTTGCGAAAGCAGGTAACGGAGTATTCCTTTCAGTTGGTTTAACCTTTCTGGCTGCCTTGCATCACACAACTCTATGACACTATTGTGTGTTTGTGAGTCAGGCAGAATGTGATGAGCTGGCCCAACGTGCCGAAGCCTTGAAGGATGAAAATGCAACTCTTAGATCAGAATTGAGTCGCATTAGGAGCGAGTATGATCAGCTTCTTGCACAGAACGCTTCTCTTAAGGTGATGTTTATATTTTGCCTCCCACAAGATCTTTTCACCCCCCCAAGAATGGCACCATTTCTTTGGATGTGAAGAAAATGAGTCGTATATATGTCGCAAAATAATGTCTTTCCAAATGCTGTTAAAGCTAAATTAATCATTTTGAACTCCATGGAATTATTTTATTTTCACAATGTCTGAATCCCCTTCCTTCCGGTCCCCTCTAATACAACAAATATGTGGCTAATTTGGTCGCCATATATTGGTTTTTTTTTTTTTTTTTAAATCTGGAAAAGCAATTAGTACTTTTAGATGTTTGCCTAACACATCTGTTTTCTACATTATTTTTTCTTTTATTTTCTTTTGAAAGAAAAACAAATCAATTGGTGACCATCCTTTCCGGAACATCTTTACTGCTGTGATTCATAAAATTTGAATTTGCTGCAGGAGAGACTTGGAGAAGTTCCTGGGCAAGACGACTCTAGGCCCGGCAGGCTTGACCAACGTTTGGGCAATGACACTCAACAGTCTGGGCAAACAGAGCTTGTGCAGGGTGGTCAATGAAGTTCCAGCTGCCTTGCTGCTCAATGATTTCAAGGGCTTAACCTAACTTATTAATATCAGGAAGTCCTTTTACTTAACATGTAGTTTTGAATTCGATAAAGCTGACCCTTTGTTAGTCTCAGGATATGTTTATCTATTTCCATAGTATCTGGCCTATCTTTTAAAGGTCTAGAACCCAGGTGTTATGTAGAGCTGCTTCCGTGTTGTTCACTTAATTTTCATTTAAAATGGGTAGTATTTGGTTTATTTAAACAATGTATTAATAGCGGTTGATGAATATGCTATACTGAGAGATTGAATAGACTATGAAATTCTGGATGTGATGTACAATTTTTTATGCTCGACTCTGTCAAAAACAATGAATTAATGAATCAATTGAACTGAGCCGGGTGAATTGGAGGGTGGATTTCTACATTCATTTTTGCTTATGTTAAGTAAACGCTCCAGCGTGAAGCATGTGAATATTGAGCACCAAGAATTTTAGGTATTTATTTCTTACTTTTTTCAAGACAAAAATGTTAGATTAGAAGTTAGAGGTGAAAATTTGAAGCCGAGCTTTCAAGGACAATGGAGAGCAACACACTATTCAGCTTTCGACTTACCCTAATGAATAACATAAGTGTGTATGTTAGCTGAATCATGGGTTTTTTTTTTCCTGACCTTCTGGAGTGGGAAGTATTCATATCTACCTGAATTAGTCAAATTTAAATCAAGTAACCTCTTTGATTTTTGAGTAAATTACACTAATCTCCTTGAAATTTCGTTAACCTATCCCTTGTTTGTTAAATTATACTTTCCTCTCTTGAGATTTCGTTAGTGGTCAAAACGGTGGCAATGAAAAATGTTTACATCAGTAATTTTGTAACTTTCAGATTTTAATTTTATCCTTAAAAAATATGTTTATTGCATTAAAGTAAACATATATATATATATATAAGGATAGAAACGTAATTACAAACACAAGAAGTTTGTAACAAATCAAACTTGGGGTTTATTACACTTACTTTTTATATGTTTTGGATGAAAGTCTACAATATCTGGAGGTACATACCCCCGAGGTTCCCAACCGTTAGATGTGATAGTACGACTCACTTGATGGATGATTCAACAAGAAGCCCGGGGGTACGGTACCTCTTGGGTATTGTAAACTTTCTCATGTTTTGAATGTGTAACAAACCAACCCCTACCATTATTACCCAATAATGGTCAATGTTGGCAAGTTTTTTAGCTTCATATGGCAAATATGCCTTCAAATTGCAGGGAAGACACTTTTGCTCAATACTTGTGCAAAAAGACAATTATACCCCTATCTCATGGCATTTTCATCAATCTAATTTTCTTTAGTTCCGACCCGCACGAAAGGCGTAACGATCTGGGCGTAGTCTCGGAGAGAGGCTGAGTGTGTGCACAAGCAGCATTGGACAAAAGTGTCTTTACAATTTGAAAGAGAGATTTGTTATATGAAGCTGGAAAATCCAACACATCAATGTTGACCATATTAGTTGGTTTGTTACAAACATCACATGTAACTAGGAGGAGGCAACTGTAATTATCCAAAATAAATGGTAGATAAGTGTAATAAATCCCAACCAGAGGAGAGGTGAGTGTAATATACATAAAGCATTATGACCGTTAACCTCAACAAAAATTGTAACATGGATCTCGAAATTGCTTTGAGGTCCAATAGAAGACAGCTACTGAGCAAGGCTGCTTCCAATGGAACCACTGAACAAGCTGGATATAGATTGAGATCAAAATCATTCCATCAATGCGGAAACATAATCAATTCCAAACCCAAATTCAATTGCTGCCTCTAATCTGTGATTTTTAAGTAATTATAAAATTCAGTCTGGATTGGGTGCCTCAAGGGTAAAGTTGAGCTGGCCATGGAAAAAATCCAAGGCATAGAAGGCCCAGGTTGCTTTCCAACATTATGTGAACGTTTGGATATCTGTACAAAAACTCGGAAGAGCGTAAATGAAATGAAATGAATGAATTTTACTGCAATGTCTCTAAATTACAAAGAATATATGCAACTCATTTTGATCTAAACACTATAAACAAAAAATTGTGGATCAACAACAAGAATGAATTGAATATCCCACTCGAGGTCTAGCCCACTTATGTTACAAATTGCTGGTGAAAGACAGCTAAAACTCGAAACCCAATTAAACTTCAATATGTATGGGGAATCAAGAATGAGATTACCTGACTAGAGACTGAAAAAAAAATCATGGGAACTGGAATGATCCTCCAATTTGGTTAGTACCTGATGGCGGGTCGATTGCAACCCACAGGAGGGAAATGGTGATTGCAATAAGTCCTGACCAAACGAACACAATTGTGGGTGTCCTCCCACGCCTTCCCATAAGCCCTTTCGCGAAAGGGTAGAGATGAGCCAAGACCCAAAAGCTGAAGAACACCCCTCCTAACAATTTGCTCCACTGTGGTATGGTGCTATATATTGTACGGCTAACCCCAACGGCTATTGCAATCAAGTTAGTCATCATGATTGTGATTGGCGGTATCATGAGGGATGTCCATTTGAGTATATAGAGATCAGCAAATTCATCATCAATGTCGTCACCAGCAGATTTTGAGGTCAAAGTAAATGATATTTCAATACCAGCAACCACTTTTAGTAGACCCTGGAGCACAGCAGCAAGATGGGCACTCGTGCCACCAATTAGCCAAAATTGCTCATTTCGCCACCATTCTTCTAGAGATACGCCAGACCACTTGATCTCAAGCACAGCTAGCATGCAAAGAGTCAAGGTGATACCGAGGAGGTATATGAGGAAGGTTACGTTAAGGGTCTGGACAATGAACTGACCCGAGAAGAGGGAAAGTGCTGGAAGGAAGCAGTAAACAATGAGAAAAAAGGAAGTGAAGGGGTAGATACCAACATTGAGGTAAGCAATCCTCTGCAATATCTTCATCTTAGGACTAGCCAAAAGGGCATTGTTCCGAGAGAAGAATATCTCAACAGAACCAGTGGCCCACCGGAGGACCTGGTGGAGCCGATCAGTCAGATTGATTGGCGCCGTCCCACGGAAAGCATCCCTCTTTGTGACACAATAAACAGACCTCCATCCACGATTGTGCATCCTATACCCTGTCACCACATCTTCAGTAACAGAACCATAAATCCATCCAACCCGACCGCCCCATTCAGTTTTATCTTCATACCAGCATGAGATGACACTAATTGCTTCAGCAACTGTAGATGCATCAAGAAGCTCCCTGGGAATGACAAGAGCACCAGGAGGCCGTCCATTCTTTACAGCAGGGTGATCAGCTAGTGGTCGGCCTTGAAATTCTGCCACCGGAATCGAATCAACAAGAAAAGATGAGTTTCCAAACTTTTTAGGGAAGAGAGACATGTTCATTTCCTCGTCATCAGAATCACCCATTCTAAGTGATCTGCTCTCTTCAGGGCCAGAAGCAACAGTTGCACGTTTTTTGCGACGACCAAAGCAACAACTGCAGCAACCTGGATGGTATTCTTTTGATCGAGGAGGGTCAAAACCATAAAGGGCAATCCTGCGAAAGAGGCAACCAGTACCAACATAAACTGGACCCTGAAGGCCATCAAGGGCACGCATGTTAACATCAAAGAAAACTGTGTTGTGATTGGCATAGCGATCAGATGGGTCAATTCCTTCAAATCTCTGAGGAAACTGGACATAACAAATGCGGTCTCCGCCACGGTCCATCATAAAACACATCCCTTCTCTTAATGCCTCGGAATTGTAAATGTAGTGGTCACAATCAAGGTTGAGAATAAAAGGGCCATTAGACATGATGGCTGAGGCTCGAACCAAGGCATTCATAGCCCCAGCTTTCTTGTTGTGATCATATCCAGGGCGCTTTTCACGAGAAACATAAACGAGCAAAGGAAGCCGCATGTCAACTTCTGTTAGATCTATAGGATTAGAATCATCAGCTGTGCCATGAAGCGGTTCATCACTAGGTGGCTTCAACATCACCTGCAGTTGGTAGAGACAGGTTGCTAGTCAGCTGAATGAAATTCACAGGAAAAACAATACAAGTTCTGCTGGATTAAGTTTGCAAACATTTCAGATGGTGCCATGGAATTGTAAACCACAAGAACTACATACAATTATAAATAAATAAACAAATAAATAAAATGTACAATAAAGCCAGTGAGATGTGACAAGAAAGCAAATAAATATTAAAGAACGTGAAAACACCACTAACGGAGAGTGGTTTACAAATGTACATGAAATTCCTTAGGCTGACTAAGGTAATCATAGGAAAGGTTGAAGTGCAGCTTGATATGGTTGCTGGTTCAGTCCATGTGCATCCTATTTGTAATCAGACAATTAACCGTAGTCCTATAAAGGAATAAGGTCACTAGTTTGGGGAGTACTTATAATTTGTTCCTTCTGGGAATAATTTGAATCTGATTTGATCTTTTTTTTTTTTGATAAGTTGAATCTGATTTGATCTTATAATCTGACAGAAAGTAGAGCTTCAAGAGAGATCAACCATGACTCGTATTTAAAACAATAATTGACTTTTCAGAAGATATAATTAAAAATTGACAGCAAAAAAGTTTTTGGAAGGCATGTCTTATAAGAAAAATGTATATCCGTGGTATACATGTAAACATATAGGGTGCCATACATATAATTACAGTATTCATATAATTAATCAGATTCAACGGTTTTGAAAAATCAACAGACTATAGAACGGGGGGGAAAAACCTTAATAGTTTAAATATGGAGAGGAGATGAAAAATAAAAAAATAAACAATCACCAGCAATAGCTTAACTCTAGTAGGATCTCCTCTACTTTTCAAGTTGAAGGTCGAGTGTTCAAGTCCCCCCAATGAGGGGAAATTGTGATTACGATGAAAGGATTAAATCTTTGCCAAACCATCTTACGATTCAATATCATGAGACATTTGTCAGAAGTTCCAATTACAAATAATTGTTCCCTAAACTAGCATCTGTATGGTTTCTGCATGATCAAGTTCAAATGGAAGGGTCAAACCCCTTATCAAACTAGCCTAAACTATTCGATTTAGTACTGTGATTTCATCAAAGCACTTGATTAGGGAGAATTTTTTTATGAATTAGTACCTGTATGATTCCAGCATGATCACCCCTAGTGTGTTCAGGAGCAGTAACTGTCCAAGTGCCAGGCCAATGTGTCCCATCTGCCATCCATGTAGCTTTGGGGATCTTCCGGCTTTCCAATGGTTCATTCATGCCATTCTCTTTCTGCAGCTTCATAGCCTTGATTTCCTCCCGGGCATTATATGCATCTGAACGACGCCGAATCGAATCAGGAAGGCCATTTATCCGGACCTTGAACTCATCATACTCACGTTTTACCCGTCTCCGATCCTTTACAAAATCTTGACGAACTTTATTCTTATAAGGATCTCTCTTCAAGTTGAAATAAGATTCTGGGTTCCTAGGCTCAATATCATGCTTTCTGCAAAATGGAACCCACAAGTTTGCAAAACTTGCAGCTTCCGCCATGGCCTCAAATGTTAGAAGGGCGCCTCCATCATCAGAAACATAACAAGAAAGCTTTTCAACAGGATAATCAGCAGCAAGAATTGAAAGAATGGTGTTTGCAGTGACAAGAGGTGGCTCTTTCTCAGGATCTGCAGTAGAAACAAAGATATCTACACCTGGAAGATCTGACTTCCCAGTGGGGTTGTGGGGACCTCTCGTTTCAAACTTCTCTTTCAAAACATTAAGATCGGTAGCACGATTGATAGGGTTGAGCTTGGGAAGCTGATCGAGTAGCCAAGAGAAGGCAAACCAAATCTCACAGACTATAGACATAAACCATAGCCATATAGCGTCATTATTAGGGTGGCTGACCCTCCATACAAGAAATAATCCCAGAACAACTATCCGAACAAAGATTAGGAGCCTGCATGTATCAGCTTGCAAATTATGATATTGCTATGGAGTAGCATGACAAATTGACAATGAATGGGAAAGCTCAGAAACACAATAGAGAAGCATACATAAATAATTCAGAATTGGGTGAAACTATTCGGTGACTGGTTAAATCTGTTCTAAACAAGTCTATTACTTCTTAGCAGAGAAGTAAAAAATCCGTTTATATCAGATTAAACTTAAATTTATAGTACATGTAACTTAAGCTGAGACACTCTTAACTGCTACAACAAAAAATGTAACATAAATGAAAACAATTTTGGCAGAGCAAGGATACCATTACTGATTCCAAACGTTCATTGATGTTAGATAACTCAAATGAGGAACTGTAACAACGTGAAACTGTTGGATCCTTAACCGACCCCATCCACAATAATGTAACCATCCTTGTACACATTTGAATAGGCCTAATTGTACATAATAAATTATCAAAATAATCAGTACCAAGGATCCTACAATTGAAAAGAAAGTCTAATCAGACAAGTATGCCGCATGATGAGGTTTAAAACTGTAATCTTTTAAGTAAAAACCTGCATAAATCATTATGTCAAGATTCTCTCTTATACCGTGGTTCATATATTCAACAATCCAGCTAGCAACAAATAGCTTCCATGGGGTGTCATTATACACTGTTACATCTCATATGGATATGAGCCTCATATTACATTGTTCATGTAATGGAGGATATGTCAATTATACCAGGGACTTTATTTGCAACATCAGTTCTAAATCCTTACATGTTTCAGTCCAAACAGCATTAAAAAAAATCCATTTGATGGCAACAAAAACAAAACAAAACCTATCTTTCCATACATGTTTAATGTCATAATTTTCTTTAATGCACTGCTACCAAAACCCTTCCTTCACGAATCTAAATCATGCCAAGTATTACAGCAAGGTGCTGACTCAGAAAGAACACATCCAAAACTATATAGAAACATATGTGGGATATTCATGTCTATATTTTTTAAAACAAAGTATAGGAATATAATCAACCAAAATCAATGACATAAACAAGATCAAATCACTACGATGATCATACCGATATGGGCTGATAATTGCCGCAGGTATTTTCAGCTTGCGAGTGAGGGGCCGCCATGGCTTATTGAGAAGTTCTGAAGGCTCACTAGTCCCATCATTTTCTTCATTCCCAAATCCCCCGTCCTTTGGCCATATAGCATTCCCATAACCATAAGTCCCCTTTGTCTCAAACAACCACCGGTTCTGATCAAAGTCTCCTGTCTGGCTCTTCATCAACGATGGCTTCGTCGATTTCATCAATGACAACCTCCTTTCCATCTTCGACATCCCAACATTCGATGGCAAAGGTAGAGGCCGTCCATTTTCCACCGCATTCTCATCCAAATCTGTAGCCTTATAAGGCTCTTTACAACCGGGGCAAATCCCATCACCAGTTCTCACAGCATCAACATAACAATCCCTGCAAATCTTGAAGTCACACTCACACGGGAGAATATCTTCACCCCTCTCATTGCACATGACCTTCCCATCACAACCCGGTATTAAACAAGAAGACCCTTTCGCGCCTGCCATTTGGGGATGGCTGATTTCGGACTCAATCACCTTATCCATCAAATGGGCACGAGTGACACTGTTAAACCCACCAGTAAACAGCGAATTCGACACATATTGCTCTTCAACCCTCTGTGAGATAGAAGCATCCATTGGTTGGTTGTCAGGTGTTGGAGGTATGTGAACTGTGTAGTTCACAAACTCACCACTGCCAATTTCACTATCCAGATCATCTCGGGAATAATTTACGTACCGGCCCGATGAAGTCCTCCTTGCAAAGGTCACTGTTGGAGGAACTGAAGCACTGTCCTGCTGTGTATCCGATCCATTGAAAGAAGTTGAAGCCATCATATTGAAATTTCTCCTAGACATTGTGTATCAGAAGAACCTGAAATTTTGCAAAGGAAAAGAACAACAGAGAAGCCCAATTAGCAAAATTCTGTTACAGCAACCTCAGATAATATATGTAAAAAAAAAAAAAAATCAAACTCTTATCCCCAATCTCTCTCTCTAAAAGATGGTGTTCTCTCTTAAAATAATTTGACATTGAGTAATTCAAATGCAAAAGAGAGATTAAAAAATCAACACATCTAGTGGCAGACCAAAAGAACAAAAACCATGAAAGCTCTCTCTCCCCACCACAAATTCTCTCTCTAGGTATCTAAAAAGAGCTGGTTTTGAACCCAAAATCTGAATTATTCCCACCAATATGCAACCAAATTGTTCAAAAGTAAAGCAATCACAAAAGGGTACCTATAATTTGAGATAAAAAGCACAACAGTAATGGAGAGCATCAAACAGCATATCCAAAACCCATCTATCCAGAGACCCCAAATAGTACCAAAAACCAAGAAAGTGTCAGATGTATATATCCAGAGACAGTTCTCCACAAATATGTCTATATATGCGTTATATATATTATAAATAAATATGTCTCCAATTGTCAATACTCCTCTTCACATCAACGAGTATAATAAAACAAATGAAGCGAAACGGCTTCTAAGGTCATGTGTGAACTGTGAAAGAAACATTCAAATTGGATACACTTATAATATTCACATAAATATCTGTCTATATGTGCTTCACAACTATGTCTTAGCTTTCATAGCTATAAAACGTGAGAGTTATGACCAAGTCCCTAATTTTTCAAAAAGATTAGAACAAACCCATTTCCTAATTGTTACTATTATAGTAATAATATCAGACACTCTCTTGTCTCTACCTCGCTTTCTCTGTCCTCTTAACAATTCAAAACAGAGACTGGGACCGAGTACAGACCTCAAAACAGACAACTTCAAAGTTCAAACAAAGCCAAACCCACACCCCAACTCATACCTTTTTCAAACGCCGGCGGCTCTCCAATACCACATATAAAACCCTAGTATATGTGTGCGTAATGCGTGTGTGTCTGCAGAGTGGAAATAGAGAAAGAGTCAAAGTTTTATTTTGACCCTGTTATGGTAATTAATGCAGATAATTGATTAATTACCTTCCTTTTTAGGGTACTTTGTACAGTGATAATTGTAGAAATTTGATGGGTCCAGATATTTTCGGACAAGGTAGATTTGAAAATGAAAACAGAGAATTTGTGAGGGCTTATTTTAGTAGTTTTTGTCTGCTGGTTTTCTTTAGAGAGAGAAAGAGCGGAGAGAAAGAGGCGGAAATTTGTGGATTTAATATTTTAATGGTTCTTTCGGGGAATTTAGGGGGTCGGACTTTTGCTTCTCCGTACGCGGTGTTGAGGCGGTGTTTCCACGCGGTACAATCTATTTGAAACCTGTGGAACTTTCCATTTATCAAACTTTTCTAGAAAGTAGAAAATGTTCTACCGACCTAAAAAAAAAAAAAAAAAAAAAAAACGACAATTGAAAGAAAAAAAAGAGGACAATTGAAATATATCCCCACCGTCAATTTTTAAATGTGGATGAAGTGTGTTCAATTCATATTGAGTGTGCGGATATACTAATAATTTGGTATACCTAATCAAATGAAGTTTTAGGTCATTCTCAAAATTTTTTGCACAAATCAATTCAAAATATAACACCAAACAATATTATTAATTTGAGAATGCGACACTACCAAAAGTTTTGCATTCTCATTCTAACGCGTTTTAATATTACAAGATGATATAATTAAGGATGAATTTAAAGGGGGGCAAATTTATATAGAGAATTTTTTTAAAAATAATTTTAGTGGGGACAATTTCAAAATTTTATGGGCACGAATGTAAAAAAATATAAATTTAGAGGTGTAAAACAAAAATTTCAGCAAATTTATATAGAGGATTTTTTTAAAAATAATTTTAGTGGGGACAATTTCAAAATTTTATGGGCACGAATGTAAAAAAATATAAATTTAGAGGTGTAAAACAAAAATTTCAGTGGGGGCCGATGCCCCCACTGAGCCCATTGTAGATCGGTGCCTAGATATAATATGTTATATTGATATTGCATCTTCGGAGTAAAAATATTGTGTATGTTTATTTTAAATATTTTATAAGTGTTGCATTTTAAATTTTCCATGTGTTTCGACGTCATTTTTTAGAAGGAAATATATATATATATATATTAAAAACTAACAAAAATAATATATTCATCAATTTTTTATAAATTATTTTATACGTCACACTCAGACTCGACCTCAACCTTGACTTAGTTCTTTGTGTAACAGAAGAAAGTAAACTAACAAAAATAATATATTCATCAATTTTTTATAAATTATTTTACATGTCACACTCAGACTCGACCTCAACCTTGACTTAGTTCTTTGCGTAACAGAAGAAAGTTAAAAAAATAAATGTATATATATATATATATATTCATAAATATTTTACAACAATCAAATACAAAATCCAAACAAACGAAGCCTTATGATATTAAAATCTAAAATTAGGAAGGTAAAATTTAAAACATAACAAAGTTGAAAAAAACAAAATAGAATAGAGCATATGGATTCAATTACACCAAATGAGGTCGGCTACACAAATGTAACATTCCTCGAAACAGTTTTCAGTCGTGCGATTTATAAGCGACGCGTGAACTGCATCTCTGTGACCATATGCAATCATGGAGAATTTATCACATCTCCGAAGGTAAATGATCCCAACATGCAAATAAAAATATGAATAAAATTGATATGGAGCGATTAGCTAGAACTAATGTTGCCATTGCAATAAATTACGTGGCACGACTAGGTACGCATGTGTCATTTGGACGAACCAACACGAAACCCAATGTAAGTTTTGTTCACACCAACACACTCAAATGACATTGTTTTGATATCTTTGCGTGAACCGTGTAGTGTTCATCATAGTTATAGATGTATGACTTAAGAGCAAGTTTTGTCACATAAAAGAGAAATTATTAGATCTGTACTGCATCATCAGCTAGTTATTGGTTCAGGACTAATGTTGGATTCATTATAGATTTCAATTTTGGAAGAAAACTCCCTACTTTATCTCTCGCCTCTTTTTAACACTTCCGCCGCCTCCCTTTCATTTTCTCCCTCCTGTTTGCTCCCCACTCCCTTCCATGGAAGTGGGGAGGTGCCGATTCTTGCCTCCCATCGTTTAATAAACTCAGCGTGTTGTAATAAGTTCGCTCAGTGGGTGAGTTTCACGCCTTTTTGATATTGTTTTGCTAGATCTGCTCCTATTTGGCTTGTTTCTGGCTAGACAGTGTGGATCTGTTGTTTTGTCTCCGGTTAGATCTCTGATTTATGTCGAGTTTTGGTGTCCCTGCCTTTTTGTGCGGGGTTTGGGTGATTTTTTCCCAGTCGGCGGTGCCTTGTGGATGCAGCCTTGAAGTTGTTGCCTTGATGATAGCCTGTGTAATACCCCTAATTTTAAAAGGATAGTCTCGGCATTTTAATAATTATTTTATTGCATTTTTATTGTTTTATTTGCTATTTATTTTAATTGATTTGCCTGTGTATTTTAATTGATTGATTAATCGTTTTTTAATTGTATTTTTATTTGCTTTAAATAGATTAATTGGTGTTAATTGTTTTAAATGGTTTACTAGGTTATTTAAATGAGTTAATTGGGTTTTGTTTTAATTATTTGTTTTCTGTATTTTACGCTTGTGTGGTAGTTTATTAGTTGTAATTATTAAGGTGAAAATTAGGTTTTATTCTTTTATATCATGTATTGGCTAACTAGGGTTTAATTAGGGTTTCCGTCTTAGGTTAATGATTGGACTTAGGTTTTATTTTGTGCCTATAAGTATACTGTTATAATTCTGCAAAAAAAGTTGGAAAAACCCTATTCACGTACCAAAGATATAGAGAGAAACAGAGACCGATTGTGAAAAAAATAGAGCAACTGCAGTGAGGGTTTCAGCTGTGGATTAAAGATTGGACCTAGGAGAAGGGAAGGTTGAGAGGTAGGAGGTTGAGTTGACAGTAAACGGATGTCGTCGGAAAGCTTAGGAAGACGGCGACAAGGTTTTGATTCCAAAACCACACAGGAAAGTTCTTTTCTTTCTCTCTCCCGTTGGCCTGTATTCTGTGCATACCTAAATAGTCTCTAGGAGTTTAATTGAATGTTAATTGAATCTTGTATGCGTAATATATGTTAACTTGATCATCTGTACGTATTTTAAATTTGTCTGAAACAATTCTTGCAAGTTTGGTGTTTGTCGTCTGTATTAAAGCATACAAACTGGTGCTGTTTTAATTGTTGTATTAATTCTCACTGTTATAAACAAAGGGCTGGGATGATACTGGATATATATTAGACTGTTAAGATCAGTTTTAAGGAAGAACAGAGGGGTAGGAAGAGGTCAGAGACGAAGTAGATGATTAGAAACGGAGCTGAAAGGGGATCAGTGCTCTTAAAGAGGGAGAGAGCCGGCTCTAGGAGGTTGGGAGCCGGCTCCCCTCTTCACAGAGCCGGCTCCAAGGGCTAGGGAACCGGCTCCATGGTGCATTAAGCCTACTCTATGGTTTTGAGAGCAGGCTCCCTTGTTTGGCCTTGTTTGGACGTGTTCCGGAACTGTTTTGGGCACTGTTTTGGACGTGTTTGGTATTCTCGATTGTTTCAAGGACTGGACTGAGGATTTTAAAAGTAATTTCATGGGATTTTAAACTCTCTAATTGCATAATTTGATCCAGGGTGCAAATAGAATGAACAGTATAAAAATAAGCAACTATGCACGCTGTTAATGGATAGGAATGATTAAATTGGTTAATCTTGTGTTAACAATTTAACGGACTGTAGCATGGACTCTAAACATGATTTTATGCTATATTGGAACCCATGGTGCATAATTTATCTTTATATGCTAATGGTATTCACAGTGTGGAAGTTTTAATATTGTTGCACACTGATGACGGATATAAAGTATTTAGTTGCTTAAACTTATTTTAGCAACTTAGATGACTGGAGTAGGATTTCTAATTTTATTTTGGATGCATAATAGGGTCTTATACATATTAAATTTTGTTATGCTTCTCTCGGATTTTTATTAAATAAATATTAAAATATATTTTATCAATTACATGAAATTAGGTGTTGGATTATAATTGTTTAGTTATTATACTAAATTCTATCAATTATCTGGATTTATGTATTGGATTATAATTGTTGAATTATTATATTAAATTCTGTCAATTAGCTGGATTTATGTGTTGGATTATAATTGCTGAATTATTACATTAAATTATGTCAATTATCTGGATGTTGTGGATTGTATACACCGGTATGGGACGGTGGCATACTAGGGATGGTTCAGCTCAAAACGCTAAAACTTACCCTATTGGAATAAGGGAATGGATTGTAAAAATTGAATCCTACTTATTTTTAGGTCAGATCAACTGAGTAAGTTAAGTGACTACATGGAGTAGCTAATGTTTGGAGTTATGTCAGATCAACTGAATAAGTTAAGTGACTAACTAGATTATAAATGGTATGTCAAATCAATGAACAATTGAATGACATACTCTGGTTTTAGACGGAATTTAAATATATGGTTATGGTACCACGAGATGAGCTTGAGTCTCAGGCTCGTTGGTTAGGGCGCGTATATGCAATGGATGCATAGCTGGATATGAAAGGTTGGGGTGTACCCTGTTAGGTCTAAGTACTCATGCCCACCTTTGGGTACGTTTTTGCATGTTGCCTTCTATTCAGGTTGAGACCCTCTTTGTAGATCAGTGAATGTCCCTTAGTGTGGATATATATGTATTTGTGGACTAGATAGATATTGTGAGATATCTAGGATGTATCTGCGTATCGGGTTACTGTATAGATTTCAGTTAGATTAGAACTTGTTCGTGGGCCTGACCTACTCTTATATTTTTCAGGTACCGGACGGTTCCAGTCTTGGGGCTTGATCAGGCTGAGCAGAGACGGTCATTCATTCTACCGACGACGTCAGATTTCATTCCTTGTTTTAGAGTTGGGTTTTTATCTTTAGTTGTTTACTTATCATCTGAGATTTTATTTAAGGGTCCACTAGATGGATTCCCGAGTTGTATTCTTGGAGGTTTTGGAGTTGGATTATTTAATCTTTATTATTTGAGGATTTTTATAATTAGAATTTCTTTCCAACTTATTACTTTATTTCTTAAATCTTTTATATTCTGTGTTCGTTTATATATTAATTGTCTGATATTTCCCTCGGGTTTGGGCTTGGGCCTGATCAACCCATGTCTCGGATTCGAGGGGTATCATAGCCTGACTTTTGGGTCATTCTCGTTGCTGTTCTTCTCCCTGGGTGGTCCACTGATGTGTTTTGGCTTGTTTCTCAACAAATAGGAGGTCTGTTCTTCAATTTTTTCTTTTATTCCTTCGTGATTTATTTGCCTTTGTACGGCGTTTATGACAGTATTTGTAGATGCCGTATGCCTGTTTTTCTTATAAAGTCAATTGAACTCTTATTCATTAAAATAAAAAATAAAAAAATAAAAAATAAAAGAGTTTTAATTAAACTAGATCGCTTAATAATTTATGGACATAAACGCCCATAATTGCCGAACTGGCGCCACAATTTGAAATTATCCAAACATTCATCATTTGGACAACGAGAAAAGATTAAGAATATAAAAAAGACAAGTTTGTGCTTTAATTGTTATCCAATTTATTGCATCGCATTGATCATATCAATCGCGTGATAATGACAACCCAAAGGCTAGTGAGAACATCTTCGTGTTACAAACTTACAAATGCAACCATTATATATATATATATATATATATATATATATATATATATATGATCTGATTTTATTTTTATTCAATCACCAAATATTACGAACTTTTCACTATCATGTTAAACATGATTGAGTCATCTTACAGACTTACTTGTTTTTTAATCAAAACCAACAGTTCTGTTTTTTTTCACACTATGTTAAAAAAAAAAGCAAAAGTGCAAAAAAACCCCTAAACTATCCAATTTTTTGCAAATACCCCCATTAACTAGGCAAAGTGTGCAAATACCCCCCTGGAAGTCACCGGATCAGCTTTCCGGCAACTGTTGATTTGAAATGACCGAAACGACCTTACTTATTAAATTATATAAAAAAAAATAAAAAAATGAAAACTAATTGTGAAATGCCAATTTTACCCTATTAAATAAGTTGCCCTAAAATCTCATTTAGTTGATTATGTTAGAGAGAGAGACACACAGAGAGTTAGAGAGTGATGGAGGCGTAGATACGAACTTAGGGTTTCATACTGTGGGTGGAAGACTTTGATCGTATTCTTGTTCTGTTCAATTGTGCGCGACATCGTGTTGTTGTTCTCTTCAATTGTGCGTTACATCGTGTGGTATTTCCTGTTGGGTCTGTCGTTTTCAGGAACTTTGATTCGATTGTACAAGTTCTCTAAATTTGTAAGTTTAGATTTTGTTCTATGTCTTTATGTCGATTTTAAATGTATCTTATTTTTCATTTTGTATGTTAATGGTTATATTTTTGGGTTAATTAGTACTAATCGAATATTTGATTTCTAGGGTTTTTGAAAATCTGTTTTGACCTAGTATAAAATTCTCTTTTTTGTATATATAATACACATGTATGCAATTTTTTAGAACTTGGGAAATGTTTGGTGTAGGTTTTATGTTGATTAAAGAAAATAGACCCCACTGACAATAGAGTTTATAGTCAATGACAGTGGTCCATGTCTTTTTTTTTTTTTTACTTTTATGTCTTCGTATAGTGATACACAATGGTCTATGTCTTGTGTTTGATGTCAGTTTGTTTCCTACATCATTTTTAGACTGATGTCTTGTGGGAAATGTTTGATGTCTTGTGGTCTATGTCTTGTATTTGATGTCAGTTTGTTTCTATGTGATCATTACTGCATTTATCTTCATATGCTCCATTACTACATATTTAATAATAGTGAAAAAAAAAAATGCTCCATTACTCTATTAGGGTTTATGCATATTGTTATTTTATTGCTTAGGTATAGGTATTGTTATTTGCTTAATTTTTTATTTTTTGTGCTTAGGGATTGTCTTTTGATTATTTTTTTATTTTTTGTACTTAGGGTTTATGTATATTGTTATTTTATTGCTTAGGGATTGTTATTTACTTAATTTTTTATTTCCTGTGCTTAGGGATTTTCATTTAATTATTATTTCATTTTTTGTGCTTAGGGTTTGTGCAAATTGTTATTTTATTGCTTAGATATTGTTATTTGCTTAATTTTTTATTTTTTGTGCTTAGGGATTGTCATTTGATTATTATTAATTTTTTTATTAATTTTTTTTGTGCTTAGAGTTTGTGCAAATTGTTTTTTTTATTGCTTGGGTATTTTTATTTGCTTAAATTTTTATTTTTTGTGCTTAGGGATTATCATTTGATTAATTTTTTATTTTTTGTGATTAGGGTTTGTGCATATTGTTACTTTATTGGTTAGGGATTATTATTTGTTGAATTTTTTATTCACCATGACTTATGTGTTTTGGTTTGCTTGATTGAACAGACAATGAATACTACCAGATTGATTACACTGGAAGTACATTTTGGAGGTAATTTCCAATACGCACCACTTAAGTCATATATTGGTGGTGAGGTAGACCCACTTGACAATGTTGATGTGGATTTTTTTATCACTTTTTCATCTAAAAGAGGTGGCTAACAGGCTTGCGTTTGAAAAAAATTATGAGTTGTATTATAGGAATCCAATGGTGGCAAGTGATGAAGGAGTTAAGAAAATTGAAAATGATGAAGATGTATTGGAATGTATTAATGTTCATAACAGGTTCAGGTTGATGAAAATCTTTATAATTTCAAAAGGCAGTGTTGAGACTGAAAATGTTGAAAATGTAGAGGAAAGTTATTAGTGTATGGAGGATGGAGTACAACCTGAAGTTGACATACATGATGATGATTGTAATTGGGATGATGAAATACTAGAATGGGCAACTCAGACTGAAAATGAGCTGAATGATGAATTAGAGCATGAATATGCTACTGTGGATGCTAATGTGGTTGTAGACGTGGATGCTGATGTGGTTGATGTGGATGCTGAGATGGTTGAAGATGTGAATGTTGATGTGGTTGAAGATGTGAATGTTGGTGTAGATGAAGATGTGAATGTTGATGTAAATGAAGATGTGAATGGTGATGTGGATGAATATATGAATACTCATGTGGATGAAGATGTGAATGGTGGCATGGGTCAATACTCAGATATTGAATCCATATATTCACCAAGTGATGAGTTAGAAAGCTTATGCAGATCATCCTCTAAAGAAGATGGCAGTGACAGTGAAGTGGATATGGTTCCAAGAAGGCATAAATTTAGGAATAATGTCATAGAACTTGGTAATAAATTTTCTTCACCTGAAGCATTTAAAGTGGCCTTAAGGGATGATGCTATTAAAAGAAAGTATGATGTTAGGTTTGTGAAGAATGAAGGGAATAATGTTACTGTTACATGTTCAAAAAATTGTGGGTGGAGAATTCATGCATCATTTAACTCAGAGGATGACAGCTTCCAAATAAAGACTTTTAACTCAAAACATACTTGCAGTTACAACAAGCTTAATAGTCAAGCATCAGCCAGTTATTTGGCAGCCAAATACATGGACACAATTAGGATAAACCCACATGGAAACCATCTGCAATGAAGAAGGCAGTTTTAAGAGATTTGGATGTTAATGTTTCTAAATACAAGGTTTATAGGGTAAGAAAGAAGGCTAGATTACACATTGATGGTGACTATGGACTGCAATTCTCAAGGGCTAGAGATTACTGCCAGCTCATTCAGACCACCAATCCTTGTAGTATTGCAATGACTACTGTTGATAGACCAACACTTGATGACCCTGCCAGATTTGAAGGGCTATTTGTTTGCTTTGAAGCAATGAAGAGAGGTTTCTTGGAAGGATGTAGGCCATTCATTGGATTGGATGGTTGCTTCTTGAAGGGCCCTTACAAAGGACAGTTGTTAAGTGCAATTGGCAATGATGGAGACAATGAAATATTTCCTATAGCCATAGGTGTGGTTAGGTCTGAAACAAAATAATCATGGGAATGGTTTTTAAACCAACTAGAAAGTGCTTTGGGTCCTCTAAACAGATTTACATTTATGTCCAACAGACAGAAGATAAAAATGTTTAAATAATTTATTTTATGTCATTTATTTTACATTTATGAACTTTTTATATTAATATTTTCTTTATTGTTGGTTAACAGGGTTTAGTTGAAATCTTTGAAGACAAGTTGCATAGCACTTACCACAGATTTTGTGTGAAGTATATGTATAAGAATTTTAAGAAGAAGTTTAAGGGTGCGAAGTTGAGGGATGAGATGTGGAATGCAGCACGTGCTTTGACTGAAGATACATTTAAGCATCACATGCATCTCATAAGTCAGATTGATAAGGAAGCCCATGAGTGGCTGTCAAAGGTGCCAGCTAGGTTATGGTTAAGGTCTAGGTTTAATGATAATTCAAGATGTGATTTGCTTGTTAACAACCTTTGTGAGACTTGGAATGACAACATTGGTGATGTTAGGGATAAGCCATTAATTACTATGTTGGAGTGGATTAGAGAGTACTTGATGTAGCAGTTTCAATCGAAAAAGGGAATGGATTCAAACCCAGAAGGGGTTGTTGCGCCCTACAATTGCTGACAAATTGACCAAGCTAATGGATGATTCAAGGCATTGCGCTATAAAGAAAACATGTGATGATATATATGAAGTTTGCTATAAAGGGGTTAGTGATGCTGTTAATTTGGCAAACAGAACATGTAGTTGTAGGGAATGGGATGTAAGGGGTATACCATGTATGCATGCCATTGCATGTATAATTGACCAAAGGGGTAATCCTGAAGACTTTGTTGATAGTTGTTATCATAGGGAGACATACTTGAGGACATATACACCTGTTATTTTCCCTATGCCTCTTAGGCAAATGACACGTGAAGTTGCCACTGATTCCATACACCCACCAATGGTTAAGCCCTCATCTGGCAGACCTAAAAAGGCAAGAAAAAGGCTGTTGGTGAAGTGAACAACAAAAGTGGTGCAGTTAGCTGAAAAAAAACAACTACTCAACTGCAGAAAGTGTGGGGCAAAAGGACACAATGTCAAAACTTGCAAAGCTACTGAAGTAACACCTCAAGCTGCCAAAAAAGGTACACCAGGTAGACCTAGACTGCTAGTTACTTCTAGGCTACCTGGTGGATTGCCAGACACTGATGGACTTGCATCAATAATGGCAAAAGGTATTGCAACTGAAAGAAAAACTGTAAGAGGAAGAGGGGCCGCAGGTGGTATGTGAGAGGTTGGCACTATAAGTGGAGGGACTGCAAATGGTATGAGAGAGGCATTGGAAGGGGAAGAGGGGCTGCAAATGGTATTGGAGAGGTTAGCACTACAAGTAGAGGGACTGCTAGTGGTATGGGAGAGGCTGGCACTGCAAGTGAAGGGACTACAAGTGGTATGGGAAGAGGCATTAGAAGGGGAAGAGGGGCTGCAAGAACAAATGCAAGGCAACTACAAGAGGTTATTGTTTTAAACCATCATAATCAATTAATTTGAATGTTTACTGTCATATTTCTATTTTTAATATTTTATCATTTTGTTTCATAGGTGATGACAATACAATCAAGATATGGGAATTTGTTGAATAATTTGTCTCAACCATCATCATTAATTGATTTCAATGTCTTATGGAGTAGTCAAGCATCCTCATCATCTAGGTATGTGAGAGTTTTTTTTTAAAAAAAATTCTGGAGCAATCAAGAATAGTTTATAAATGTCTTTGATGATTTTACCTTTTCTTTCTTTTTTTTTTTCTTTTTTTTTTTTTTTTCACAGGCCTACTACAATTGACCCAGGAGTTTAAGGAAATTTGGTGGTTTTTTGCTTTTTGGAGTTCATAGTACAACTTTTTGTAAGTTTTGGTAAATAGATATTGGTTTTCATCTTTTGGTATGTTGATGGTACATAAATATGGTTTAGATTTTTTTGGTTTGTTGGTGCACAGATATGGTTTACATTTTTTTGGTATGTTGGTGGTGCACAGATGTTTGGTTTTTTGAAATGTTGGTGCACATATGTTGTTTGGTTATTTCGAATGTTGGTTCACAGATTGTAGTTTTGATTTTTGGGAATGTTGATGCAGAACTTAAGATTTTGTATGGTTATGGCTGATACTACTATAATTTATATGGTTATGGTTATGGTTATGGCTATGTTTTTTTGTATGTTGGTGGTGCATAGATTTTGTTTTTGTATGGTTATGGTTATGTATTTTGCTATATTTTGCACAAAATTTATTTTTGTATGTTTTTTGCTATGTTGGTGCAACTGGTATGTTGGTGCTGCAAAGATTACCCCAGATTATAATTTTTTTGTATTGTCATCACCTATTTTGCTATGTTGGTGCAACTGGACTATTGGTGCAACATAGTATATTATATAAAAAAATAATACATTAATTAATTATAAAGTCCATTACAATTATATTCTACTAAATAACCACACAATAACCATTACAATAGCACATGCTATAAATCCCAACATGAAAACAACCAAATTTGTGATTACATGATTCCCAATATTGCTTTGCATAGGTGGTGCACCCACAAAGTTGATACTCCCATCAATAGGCAGTGTTTCATCTTCCAAATGGTTCTCATAACCAGTTCTCATAGCTATTTGGCCTCTCAAAGATGATATGGTTCTCATAGCCAGTTCTCTTTCCATATGGTTCCAGTTATCAGGATCCACCCATCTATGGAACCCACAAGACATCATGGGATACCTTCCACATCCATAGAACCTCCGACCTAGATTATTTTGTGTAGTGGCTCTTCTCAAAGGAGATTTTACTCCACAATAGCAATACAATACATTGCTTGATGGCTCCATATCAGTACTACAATACATATTGCAAGCACGTAAATAATTTAAAAAAAAAAAAAAAAAAATTACTATTAACTACTAAACACTACTATGCATCTGAAGGGAAAAAACTAACACAAAAAAGTAATATATATATTCAAATCTAATATATATGTATTATAAATAAATTTAATTGCATAAGAAAACTCACCTTTGTCCAAAACCCCTTCCAGTTCGTTGCAGAGAGAGAATGAGTACACAATTTGGCAAAATGACATACAATGGGATTATATAGGCCACAAGGCTGTAACGGTCACAAAAGAGCATTTTCGGCATTATAATACTTTGAACAGGCGCGTGGCATTACACACGCCCGGAAAGCTAATCCGGTGACTTCCAGGGGGGTATTTGCACACTTTGGTAGTTAAGGGGGGTATTTGCAAAAAAATTGGATAGTTTAGAGGGTTTTTTGCACTTTTGCCTAAAAATAAAATAAAAAAAGAGAGACACGTGTGAACGATTACATGATATCATCATTTTTGTTCTTTTATTATTATTTTTTTATAAATAAAATAATTATTAAATTATTCAAATACTTTACGTGATACATTAATATGGCATCGCGATACACTAGAAATACTCAAAGTTTTTTGAAAACAATGATTCATACAAGTAAAGGGTTTCCAATCCTATCAAACTTGTACACCCTGCTAACCTAACAAGTTTTTGACATGAACCGAAATCATTCCAACTTCAAATGACCAAACTTGTGTGTTAAATTAGCTAGGTTTATATATGATATCTATTATCTATCACTATCAAATTCATTTGCAACCATGAATTTTCATCACCCAATCCATTTTTTTTCCTACACTCAATTCATTGATAGCTATCCCTCCTCACCCGAGTTGTGCTAGTGATAGTCGCCTCTGGACTTCTGATGTCTCTCAAATCTTTAATGAAATGATTCATTGAAATTCATCGAGAAGCTTAATTCATCTTTTATATGTGGCATTCATGGTGTGAATTCAACAATTCACAAAAGCGTCACATTTAGAATGGTTGGTTGATTTTGTAGGTAAAATTTTTTGTAATTACAAAAATGATCCCATTGAAAACTTAAAAAATATTCAAAAGAGACCCAAAAAATATTCTTAAAAAAACCTCTTATTAACTTTAAATTCAAAAGAGACCCATAAATTTTCAACTAATATTATCAATCTAAACTCCAATTTTTGCTTTTATTACTAAAATCTACCCAAATAGCAAAATTCTACTCCTATTAGTCTAGGTTGCTCCCCAGACTCAACCACTGAAGTAAATTCCAATTATAAAAACAAACACGTGTTTTGAAAATTTTGAGTAATTACTTGCAAGTTGCAAGAGTAAAACTCTGTATTTATGCTTTAAAAAAGAAGAAGTTGTAATTAAAAATTAAGAAATGTAGACTTTGTCTATGGAAAGGAAATATATGTGTAACAATTATTTGGTGAAGTAGGTGATGGTCACGTGAATGTATTTTGTATTCTATTCCATTCTTTGAAAACTGAACTTGCAATTCCTTCATTTTCATGTTCTTCAAGGAAAGCGAGTGGAAGTGGCAATTGATCCTATTCACACATCATACAGACTGTAAATTACACCTAGTCCAGTTGAATTTTTTTTTTGAAACGTGTACTTGAATTGAAATTAACGTTTGGGACTCACAAAGTCTACTTAGTTCAGTTTTTTATAAAATAACTTTCTTTTTAAGAATTATTTTTAAAAAAATTCAGTTAAAAACATGAATTTCAATAATCTGGTAATAAAACTTACATGCAAGTAATAATAAAGATAAGTCAAAAATAAAAAGTTGTCCAAATCGTTCAATAATTATGTTGAGTCGAGATTGTTCAACGCATTTATTCCGCACAGACCGGATTGAGATCAAATTTGAAAGTTTTTAAATAAAACTCAACTTGAACACCAAAAAAAAAAAAAAAAAAATAGTCTAAAACCATCAGAAATAATAATAATAAAAAAAGGATAGATTAAATTTGAGTTCACAGGACTAAGTTAGAACCCTTATAACACTGAAATGAAATTATTACTAAATCATTAGTTCGATTGGTATAATCTCTCCAATAATAATAATAATAAAAGGATAGATTAAATTTGAGTTTACAGGACTAAGTTAGAACCCTTATAACACTGCAATGAAATTATTACTAAATCATTAGTTCGATTGATATAACCTCTCCTCTCAGATCAAAAGAGAATCGAGGAATTCGAATCTTATGGCGAACATTTGCGGGTGTGTAACATTGAAGGTCAAGTTGTTTGAGCCCTTTTCAAAAAGAAGGTACGGGCTAGAACTAAACATGGGGCAACGGGTAGGACATGATGAAGACTCTGACCTGTATTCAAAACTAAAGGGCGGTAAACATGCATGCCCACCTCAGATAATTTATTTGGAAAGCATAAAACAATTTTGTCATCATTGCAATCTTAACTTTCTATGTTTAATTCATTTGCAACGGTGTGTTCCTAATTATAATCTATGGCCCATTCGTTAAGGATTCCTTTGACAACGGCTTTTATTTTGTGTTTTTATTTTGATTCGGAATAAAAGTAGTGTTTCTGTTCAATAGTTTGTTTAAAACTATTTCAACACTTGTTTGGTAACGTAAATTTTTTTATAAGAGACAAAACTTTCGATAGCAATAACATAAAAACATATTTGACAAATAGTGTTACAAGTTTAAAAATTTGAATGGTTAGTTAAAAATATTATTTTAGATTATTTTTTTTTGAACAGTTTGAAAGTAAACAAAAATATCATTTTTATGCATCCGATTTTGGTCTCGATTTCAGAAGCGTTTCAGTACCATTAAAAGGATAGCAAACGTTACCAAACATGTATTATGTTTTTACTTCGTTACAATACATGGACAAAAATAAAAAATACGAAACAAAAACATTAGTCGAACAATCTCTAAAAGATTTTTCTCCGTAACAAAAGAAAAAAAAAAAAACTTTGTAGGACCTTTATTAATTTATGCTATTCAATAGTTAGAATACAAGTTTAGAATGCTGTCTATTAGTGCGTGGTACCAAACATTAACGTTGTCTACTACCTATTAAAGTGTGTGTGGCCGGTCATTCATTAAGAGGCACAAAGTT